TCCAAGTTTATCTTATGCATGCAAAATGCGGGGCTTATCCCCCGAATATCTGCCAATGTCCACCTAATAGCCTTCTTCCTCTTATATAGCACCGCCAATGTAGAATCTACCTGCATGTTAGTCAAACAAGAGAAAAGAATAACCGGTAAAATAGAACAAGGGCCAAGAAATTCATACCGAAGATGTGGAGGCAATGGCTTCAACTCCAAGGTAGGAGGATCTTCAATGGAAGGCTTTATAGGAGGCGTTTTCCTATTTTCAAGATCCAAAGATAGTTTTCAGGGTGCATAATTGTACAACCCTATTCCTTACAAAGATTTCGCATATTCCATGAAGCCATCCATCTCGTCATCATAAAAAATGAGCAAGACGGCCTCCAACATATCACCAACATTGATCATGGCACTTGTATTATCAATAATAACATCGGTCACCAAGTCCATAAAAGAATACACCGCGTTGCTATTTGGTTGCTGCATGGACTTGCACACATGGAATACCACTTTTTCATCACCCACTCGGAAAGTGAGTTCTCCGGCTTCAACATCACAAAGAGCCTTCCTAGTAGCAAGAAAAGGTATTACAAGAATAATCGGTACCTCATAGTCAACTTCACAATCTAGAATGACAAAATCTGCCGAAAGAATGAATTTATCAACACGAACCAAGACATCTTCAATCACTCCCAAAGGTCTCTTCATGGTACGGTCGGCCATTTGCAATCTCATAGAGGTAGGTCTTGGTTTCCCAATTCCAAAGGTCTTGAAAACTGAATAGGGCATCAAATTGATACTTGCCCTAAGATCACATAGAGCTTTAGCAAACTCGGTACTTGCAATTGTACAAGGAATCATGAAAGTACCGGGATCGTCTAACTTGGGAGCCATTGAATGCATAATTGTACTCACTTGATGAGTGACTTTGATAGTTTCAAAATTCATTGACCACTTCGTCATGAGTTCCTTCATAAATTTTGCATAAACGGGCATTTGTTCCAAAGCTTCAACTAATGGCACATTGATTGAGAGACTCTTCATCATTTGAATGAACCTTTTTGAGTTGATTCTAGCCATTTTGTTTGGCAAGACTTTGAGGGTATGGAGGTGGAGGCTTAGACTGTATGTCATTAATGTGATCCCTAGATGGGTTCACCTCCTCTTGAGTCTCTTCCACACTATCATCAATATCAAGTTGAACTTCATCATTTTCTTGCACCACATTATTCTGGACCTCTTCTTCTTATTCCACTTGCTCATCATCCACAAGTTGCTTTTGACTTGAGGTGGATGCATTCCAACCTCTTCCACTTCTTGCAGTATCGGCCATGGCATGCTCCGTGTTGTTTCCACCCTTTGGGTTTACCACTGTGTCACTTGGTAGTGCCTCCTTAGGACGAGAATTTAGAGCTTGAGAGATTTCCCCATTTGAACTTCTAAGTTGCTGATCGATATGTTGTGTGAGGCAAGTTAGGCGTCCGAATCGGCATTCTTTTACATCATTTTCTTGAACATGTTCTCAATATGCCCCATCTCATTGGTTGAAGAACTAGGACCATGGGAAGGATAAAGAGGCGGGTTATTCGATTGTTGATACATCGGGGGCCTTTGAAAACCCGACCCCCGACTGCCTTGATTATGGTTCCATCCGCCTTGATTGTCCCCCCCCCCCC